GCTTGCCGCTTGGCCTGCGTCAGCTCTTCCTCTGCGGTCTTCCACTGGGTGATGTCGCGCAACACCGCACAGAATTTGGCTTCTTCCTTGCTGCTGGTGATCCGCCCCATGGTCATGAAAAGCGGGATCAACCCACCCGTGGGCACCTGACCGAGCACTTCTCGTCCGTCATTCAATATGCTGGCGACCCCATTGCGGGACAGGCCGTCAAGGTAGTCGCTCGCGGCCCGATGGCTTTCCGGCGCCAGAAACTCGATAAAGGGAGCACCTATCATGTCTGCACGGTTGGCGCTGAAAAGAGCTTCCGCGGATCCGTTGACTTTCACGATCGTTCCATGCCGGTCAAGGACAAGGACGCCGTCGGTGGCGGTCTCCAGAATGGTATCCAGCTCGGCAATCTGGTCGTGGGCATTGTCGAGCTCGGCCCGGACACCTGCAAAGAAATTCGGCGATGCAGGAGCAACGGTCGGGGGTATCTGCTTCTGTTGGCGTTCGCTGATCGAAATCATCAACCCGCGGGTACCGTTCCACGGCACCGAGTGCATATGCGCATCAACGGTAAGGACACCGCCATCTGCGACACGCATCTTCATGGCTTCGTCGATTTCATCATCGATCCCGATTCCATCCCCCAGCTCATCGGTGTCATCGATGAACAGGGCTTCCAGGCCTCCGGCTTCTGACAGGGCCGCAATGGAAGTGTAACCAAGCATCTTCAGAAGCGCCTTGTTGGCGTAGAGCACTTCGCGGTCGTGAACGATCGAAATGCCGATCGGCAACCGGTCAAGCAGACTTGGATCGATCGGACCTGCCTCTGGAACATCAGGCGGCAAGTCCTCGAGCGCTTCTTCTTCCGGATCCGGAGCTTCAAAGTCCTCCATGTCGCCTTCCAGCCGAGCACCGAGCGCTTCCGCTATCTTGCGGAATGCCTGTCTCTCCGGACGCGACAGTGATGAAGTGTCGACGGGGACGACGCGCGGACGGGCAGTTGCGAGTGGAATGACCTCACCGCTCTTTCTCTCCGGCTCCGCCGGTGGAGATGCGTCTGCTTCGGCCGCCCGGTCTTCCTGTTCGAATGCGGCGGTCTCTTCAAAGAATTCGCGCTCTTCCTCGGCAGCCGGATCTTCTTCTTCGCTGTTTGGAGAAGCGTCGTCACCGGTCTCTTCGTCGAGGCTGACGCTCTCGGAAGGCTCGTCGCTTGCAAGATCTTCTGTTTCGGAGACGTCATCTGCCTGGTCGCCGGTGTTCGGTTCGGTCGCAATAGTCTCCTCAACAGTCTCCGCAACAGCTTCCTCGGCATCGGGCGCGGTATCGGCGTGCACGTCCGGCCCTTCGTCAAAAAGATCCGGAGACCGTTTTTCAGCCGGTTTGTAAGACTTCGCCAGCGTTTTCACAGCGCTCTCGATCTCGGAGGGTTTCAGTTCAGCCGGACCTGCGATCCCGACGGGCTCTTCAGCTGCAGTATTTTCTGGGTGCGCCTCTGTCTTCTCAGCTTCTTCTTCCGCACCGTCTTGAACGGCAACCTCGGCAATATAGGTGCCGTTTTCGTGCTTGTAGTCTTGTTCGTCCGCAGTGGTTTCCTCACTGGTCGACAGGTCGAAGTTGATCTCGCCTGCCTTGGCAGCGGGCTCGTCATCGTCGTTCTCAGCCTGATCAGCCTCAACCGCTTCGTCCGATTGCGCCTGTGCCGTCGGCTGATCCGATACGTCCTCCGGATCGACAGGAGCAGTCTCTGCTTCCAGTTCAGATGTGTCTGACGGGTTATCTGCGTTCTGCTCCCCGTCAGTTTCTCCGGAAAGGTTTTCTGATAGGCCCGCATCCAGCGCCGCCGCAGCGTTTTTCAGGTCTTCGGACAGGTTGAGCGCGTCAGGTGTCGCTGGTTCCGTCGTTCCGGACCCGGGCACCACCGCTCCGCCGGAATGTTCGTTTTCCGCCCTCTTTTCTTCTGGCGACGGCACCGCACCGTCAAGGGCGGTATCCAGGGGCTTCGACCCTTTCTTGCCTTTGAACATTGCAAGAGAACCAACCAACGCAGCTGCGCTGGCGCCCAGGAATGTTCTGCCGCCGAGCGAATTCGGCTGCGCGGGTTTCAGGTCCTTCAGGTCTCCGCCTTCAGGATTTTCATTGACCGGGACGTATGTCTCTGCCGTACCCTCTTTTTCGGCTTCTTCCGACGCGTTCACTTCAGGCGATTGCGCGTCTATCTGGTCTTCCAAGGCTTCGACGTCATCGACTGCGACAGGTCCCGAAGCGTCTAGGCTGGCAACTTCGTCGGATCCGTCGTCTTCGCCATCAGCTGCTGGGCTTTCAGCATCGTCATCGGCAATAGTGTCTGCGTCTGCAAGGCGGATATCCAAATTCGGATCTTCTACCTCTTCGCTTCCGGCCAACTCGTCTTCGTCATCGGCTACCAGCGCATCATTCATTTGCGCTTGATTTTCATCATCGCTCTGAGCCGTATCGCCATCATCAGCCGCAGTCTCGAGTTCGTCGTCGGTTTCCCGGCTGCGTGTCTGCATGTCGCCAGTGTCGGCATCTTCGTCCACTGGCTCGTCGAACACCGGGGCGGGAACGGGCAACGGGATGAAGCCGTCGGGATCCTGAACGGCGTCAGATGTCCTGCAGACTCCGAAGCCACGATAGCCCTCAAACTTCCGGTCACGATCGAAAGCAGGAAGCGCGGCCATATCCACCGGTACGCGGAGTGCAGCACCACTCACGGGCCATGCTACGGTTTTACCGCTCCAGGTGTCGCGCCTGTCCAGCGCCCGGGCAATGTTGCCCCGCGGGTCCAGTCCAAACTTTTCTGACACCTCTTCCCAGGACGATCCGACAATATTCGTCGCATCCGGGCCCAGCACTTCGGCGAATTCGTCGGACAGGAACGTGAAGCACTGGTCAACATCCATCTTCCAGGCAAATCGCACAGGCCGCCGGCGCGGCTGGAACACGAAGCCTTCAGGGACAGCAACCTGCTCGTCTGACACATCGGAAGTGGTTGGAGCCTGTTCGTCGCCGGCTTCGTCCTCTGGAGTTCCCTCCGCTTCCGTGGGGACTTCTTCGCGTAAAGTTTCATCCGTTTCATCGAATTCGGCGGCCGCAGGTTCTATAGTCTGATGGCCCACTTCTCCGGGAACATGGTTGTCATGCGCGTCCGGTTGATCATCTGCAAACTCGTCGGCGTCGTTATCGGATTCAGTAACCGGCTCTGATGCTTCGGCCGGCAATTCGGGGCCCCTGTCGGTCTCAGCCGGGACGGAAGACTTTTCCAACGACTGCCCTGCGCCATCATCATTGTGGTGATCTTTATCGCCAGCGGCATCGTTTACAGATGAATGGTCGTCGCCGGGATCCTGACCCGTTTCATCCAACGGACGCTCAGCGGGGTCAGCATCGGATGCAAGCGAGACAGACTGTGGAACGGGCAGGTGTTCCACGGCACCAGCCGTTGTGTCCGGTGTATCATCTTCGCTGACCGGGTCATTGCTCAAGACAACGATCCGCGGACCGGCCGGTATCTGCAGAACGCCGCCGTCGTGAAAGCGGCCGTTCAGGTCGAGCGGGCCAAACAGGACCTTTTGATCCTGCGGCAGGGCAATGTCTTCCGGAACACCGTCAAGTTCACCGAATGTCTCTTTGTCATTTCCTCCGGAAATCAGGAAGACCGTCGACTTGTCGGATTTGAGAAGACTGGCGAATGCGGGAATGGGGTCCTTGGTCATCTCAAGTCCCTTGTCGCTGCAAACGATCAGCGCCGCGGTATCGCCACCGTTCAGTTCAACCCGCTTGCACTGGCAAGTCAGAAGCATGACCCGGAGACCACGGTAGAACCTCAACCGGTCGATGCTGAATCTGTCGGTCAGGCCGGAATCGGCGATACGGGCAATGTGAGGGCGTGCAGGCGATCGTTCCAGCGCAGACAGACCCTTGAGGTCGGATACGGATTGCGCGGAAAAAAACGCCGCGCCGGCGGCATTCGACCACAGGATTTTTGCGCCATCGGCAGACCACAACCAGGCCGCTCTTGTGTCGGCTGCAAGTTGGACCAGATCATTCATGGCAGTCAGTTCCAGGAATGATTGGGTCTGATTGTCCATCGTGTTGCTCCAATGGTCGGCGATACCGAGTTGCGGACGTGCGGTGCCGGGATGCCTGCTTTCGTAAACACTCTGTTAATACTAGCAAAGCTTAGCGTCGTCCACGTACAGCAAGTTTGCTAAAGGACTTACGTGAAGGCGTGGTTAATCTGTCCCCAATTGTTTGCCGGATCGCCATCTGCATGGTACGAATTTTTGGCAAGGACAGAACTTAGAAGACGCGGGCTTTCCACGCTCGCGACCCGAGGAGCGCTGACATGAGCACTGACAATACCGGTTTTGAAGTCCCCGAGCAGATGCGTGATTTTGCTGAAAAGAGCGTAGACCAGGCTCGTAAGGCGTTTGACGATTTCATGGGCGCCACCCACAAGGCTGTTTCCAACGTCGAGGACAGCGCCAGCGCTGTCCAGGCAAATGCGGCGGATGTCAACAAGAAGGCGCTGACTTATGCTGAAGAGCACGTCAATGCGGCCTTCAAGTTTGCGCAGGAACTCGTCAAGGCCGACAATGTTGAGGACATGATGAAGCTGCAGCAGAGTTATCTGCGCGGGCAAATGGAATCGCTGGGTGAACAGTCCCGTGAATTTTCCAATGCCGCGACCAAGGCCGTGCAGGACGCTGCAAAGGCCGCACAGAAAAAGTGAAGCCCGCGACCTCAAGAATGCGCAGGACACGTTCGTTCTGCGCATTGAAGGTTCACAGAACGAGCGTATGGATACAGTGTCGAAGGCTGCACGGACACCGCGATTCCGGTGGACGGTTGCCGGCAGCAAAAGCATCCGCCAGGCTGATTGAAAGCCGCCCGAAGGCTGGAACACGAGCTCTCCCCTACGGAAGTTTATTGTGCAGTGCAAAAAAATGTTGCAATGCAGCAAGACATGCACTATGTAGGGTCTGCGGATGACGACAGGGTCTGCCAGTTGAAAAAACGGCAGAATGAAATTTGAACCGATGATCGCATCCGAACTCTAGGAGATGAGATCATGACCGAGACCAACACGACTACCGCCAAGACGGCTTCCAAAGCACGCACTTCCAAGGCCAAGGCTGCACCGGCTGGTGTGACTTTCCCGGACTTTGAAGCTTTCGCTCTTCCGAAAATGGAAGTTCCGGCAGCGTTTCGCGAAGCCACCGAGCAAGGCATCGAAAGCGCGCGCGATACTTATGCCAAGGTAAAGACCGCTGCTGAAGACGCGACCGACCTGATGGAAGACACATTCGAAACTTCCCGCCAGGGCGTTGTCGAATTCAACCACAGGGCTGTCGACGCAGCGAAAACCAATGCAGACGCGACCTTCAACTTCATCAAGGACATCTTGTCCGTGAAGACAGTTGCCGAGGCAATCGAGCTGCAATCCACTTTTGCACGTCAGCAATTCGACGCTCTGAGCAGCCAGACCAAGGAAATGCAGGAACTGGCTACCAAGCTCGGAACCGATGTTTCCGCTCCGGTCAAGGAAGCAATGGAAAAATCCTTCAAGGGTCTGAGCGTCAACTGACCTTTCAGGACCGCATTTGCGGAACCGCAATGACCGATATGCCCGGGGTTCAGCCCCGGGCATTTTCTTTTCAACAGGCTTGTATTTTCCGAAAATACTAGCTTGCCGGTTCCAAAAAACGGCGTTAGAAGACGCCCTTGCAAAGAGCGGCCCGGACGAGTATCGTCCGCGCCATATCAAGGCCTAGGCAGACGTAGCTCAGTTGGTTAGAGCGTCGGATTGTGGCTCCGAAGGTCGGTGGTTCGAACCCACTCGTCTGTACCATTCCAAACAAACACCTCCCAATCGTTTCCAGGTTTCCGGACACCGGCCGAACAACGCTGGTCCTGCCCGACAATGACCAATGGGCATCCGCGTCTCGCGCATATTTTGTTTCGATCAGCTGAACGAACGTGTTCTGGTGTAGCCAATGGCGCTTGAGCGCGCGGCGCAAGGGCGCCCTAAGCCTTCCGGAACGACCTGAAAAACATGACAATTGCCAGGACCATCAGAAAAAGACCTGTCAGCAGGATAAACAGTATTCCCCCAAATCCGAAGTCAACCGCAATGGCTTCAAATTTCTCGTTGGCCAATATGAAAAGGTTTGATGCCGCGAATACACACACGAGGGAAATGGCTAGATGTGAAATTTTCATTACGACAATCCGAAACTGTAACCGATGCGTGTGGATATCACTCACCAGTTAGTTTCTTGTTGTTGTGCTCGTTAAAATTGTGACAACTGGCTGCATGAACGTCAAAGGGTCTGTTCGGTCTGTTGAACCATGCGCATTCGGTTCAGCCCTTGAATGCCGGTTCCAGCCTGTCAAACAAACCTGCAAAGAAAGTCCTGAGGTCTGGATCGCAACCGGCAGGATGTGTGCCGAGAGGCATCGCAGCCGTATAGACTTAGCCCTTTTCTCGTGACCCTGGCTGCATTGGTCTGCAAATTTGGGCCTGAGAGAGCCTCACTGAGCAGGATACCTGCAGACGCTGGCAGTATCGGCATGCAGTCCGTCGTTCGGTCCATTCCTGCTGCGAAATGGTTATTCCTTCGCCGTAAGTCGGAAGGTTTTGTAACATCTCCGATGCTACGGTGAGGTTCTGATTTGAACCGTGCCTGGAGGGGAACCGTCAATGACACATGGTGCACCGGGCTTTGCGACCCGTTTGAAACGCCTGCCGGGGCAATTGTTGCTGGCCTTGATCAACGCAACGGCGCTTCTCGTCATAGTCGCCTGCATTCTCGCGATTGTCGTTGTGAACCGGGTAGACCACGCAGCCGAATCGATCGCCGGTACGGTGACGGATGCCGCCCTGTCCAGGATTGACATGTCGCCCGCCGAGGTCAGGTCAAATCTTCAATCCATCAATGACAGGGTCTCGGGCCTGTCCGCCAAGCTGGATGATGCGGGATCGGTCGACAAACCTGATCTTGTGCGCGAAATCAAATCGTTGAACCGAAATCTCAACGAGATGAAGCTGCTGGCAAAGGGGCTCGGGACGGCAAGTCCCGAAGTCGCAGACGCTGCTTTCAGACAGGCCGGAGCCCAGCTGACCGAAACACTCCTTGCACTGCGCGGTTGCTCTCTTGAAAAAGGGACCGAAGGGCAGGGAAGCTGACGGGCGGATATGGGGAGGAGGCGCCTCCTCCCCAGGACGTCAGGCGGCCAGATCGAATAGCAGGAATTCGCAATTTTCTTGGGCAACCAGATCAATCTTGCCGGCATCAAGCAGACCAAGCCCGTCGCCTGCAGCCAGAGAAAGACCATCAACGCTCAGCTTGCCCTTGACGATCTGCAGCCAGACCTTGCGGTCCGGTTTGATGTCGAAGGAGACACTCTTTTCAGCCGACAGGAGCGACGCCCAGAGATCGACGTCCTGATGGATGACGACCGAGCCTTCGCGACCGTTTCTTGAACCAATCAGCTTGAGCGTGTCCCGGCGCTCGGCATCAGGAAATGCTTTCTGCTCGTAGCTTGGTTTCAGACCGTCTGCTTCCGGCACGATCCATATCTGCAGGAAATGGACCGGGTCTGTGTCTGAATGGTTGTATTCGCTGTGCCGGACACCGCTACCAGCGCTCATGCGCTGCAGTTCACCAGGCCGGATGACGGATCCGGTTCCGAGCGAATCCTTGTGTTCCAGCCCGCCGGAGACGATGTAGGAGATGATCTCCATGTTCTGGTGCGGATGGGTTGGAAAACCGGCCGAAGGAGCGACACGGTCTTCGTTGATGACCCGCAATGCGCCGAAGCCGATATGGTTCGGGTCGAAATAGGAGCCGAAAGAAAAGCTGTGCTTGCTTTTCAGCCATCCGAAATCGGCTTCGCCGCGCGTTTCCGAAGGACGTAGTAACTGGTTCATCGATCAATCCTTTCCCAGGTTGGCACGGGAAAGCCGCGCACTGTTGGACCAAAGATTGGTTCGCTCGAATTCTTTTACAATCACGTAAGAACTTGACGATTAGTCATCGATTTTTGAACAATCGTCTATTGGACCGTCTTCGGCAGGTTCGCGCGCAAGCGGTTGTGATCGGCAATCTCGCGGGAGCGTTTCGCGTCGACAACGAGCGGATTGCCCTTGGGATCGAAGGCGTTCTTGAAGGTGAAGGCCGTTGCCGACGGTCCATTGTCACCGAGCAATTCATGACGCTCGACAGCTTCTTCCCAGTCTGGCCGGTGGTCTTGTGGAACCCACCAGAGCACATAAGGCGGATAGTCCACGGCTTCCTTGACGAAGAGATGACCCAATCTCAGGATCTGGGCATGCGGGCCCCGATAAACGGCAGCAAGGGCGGCTTCCAGGTCCTGCCACAAGGAGATTGTGGACGGCGCCCAGCCATCGCCATTGTCTTCCCAGTATTTCGGAAAGACCTGCTCGCCCCAGAGGTCCGTGCCCGGTTCGTCCTCATATCCGGCGCGGGCAATGAAACCATCTGCACGCTCCATTGCGGCCCAGATGGCTGCTTCATTGCTGAAGAAATCATCATTTGCCGGATCATCCGCACGTGTCCGGAATTGTGCGAACGTGTAAAGCGCGAGCCAGTGTTCGGACATGTCCCCTCCCTGTCAGAACCAGCCGAACACTGTCCGCTATCAGGGGTGAATTCAAGCGTTTGTTGGCAGGCCGAAACAGTTTGTTGCGTCGTCCGGCTGGAAAAAACGAGTGAACTTGTCCTAAAACCACAATCTGACTTGCCGCCCGGCAACTCAAGTCCCGCCCGAAAGGATACCAGTTTGGACGATCTCAGCCTTTTCTCCCTCAGCCTGCTGGCGCTTTCACTTGTTGCCACGGGGGTCGTTGCCGGGATCATCGCGGGATTGCTGGGTGTCGGTGGCGGGATCGTCATCGTGCCGGTGCTCTATTACATGTTCACCGCGCTGAAGATCGATCCTGACGTATTGATGCATGTTGCCGTCGGTACGTCGCTGGCAACCATCCTTGCCACCGGTGCTTCGTCGGCGCGCGCGCATTACAAACGCGGCAGCGTCGACATGGATCTTCTCAAGCGTTGGTGGTGGGCAATTGCTCTGGGTGTGCTCGCCGGCGCGACGCTCGCCGGCAACATTTCCGGTGGCGCCTTGACGTTTGTTTTCGGCGTCGTTGCCCTTGCCGTTGCCGCGAACATGATGCTTCGCAAGGAAGGGTCGCATCTTGCTGACAAGCTGCCCGGCTCACCCATCAGGGAAGTGCTCGGCTTCCTGATCGGCGGTATTTCCGTGATGATGGGAATTGGTGGCGGCACCCTCGGCGTGCCGACATTGACGCTGTTCAACTATCCGATCCGCAAGGCGGTCGGGACCGCGGCGGCCATCGGACTGATCATCGCTGTGCCGGGGACATTGCTGTCGGTCTATTTCGGCTTTGATCTTGACGGCAGACCACCGCTTTCGCTTGGTTACGTCAACCTGATCGGCTTCATGCTGATCATCCCTGCATCGACCCTGACGGCCCCACTTGGCGCGAAAATCGCTCATGCGATTGATCCGGCAAAACTCAAACTAGTCTTCGCCCTGTTTCTCGGATTCACCGGACTTCGCATGATCTACGGTGTCTTCTTCTGAACCGGCGACAATCATCCGTGATATGTGGATCAAAAGATTTCATTGGTCTTGAAACTATAATCTCGTGATAGTGGCGCGTCCTGAAATGGGCCTGTTCTCCAAGTCTTTGGTCTTGAATGCTTGAAAAAAATGTCACCCTCAGCCTACGAGGCTGCGTGCAGGGCGCCTTGATGTGCATCCCTGTCTTTCCGGGCATTATCGTGTTTGGTGCCGTGTTCGGCACCGTGGCCGCGCAAAAGGGATTGTCATTTCTGGAAGCGCTCCTGATGAATTCAATCGTGTTCGCAGGGGCGAGCCAATTCGTCGCCATGGAAATCTACAGCGAACCCCTGGATCGGCCGACATTGATCGCAATGGTGGGGATTACCGCCGCCATCAACATGCGCATGCTGTTGATTGGCGCCAGCTTGCGTCCCTGGCTTGGTCAGGTGCCGGGATACAAGACCTATCCCGCACTGTTTTTTCTGACGGATCTCAACTGGCTGCTGACGCTGTCTCAATACGAAAAAGGGACTCGCGACTGGGGCATTTATCTGGGCAGCGGACTGATCGTCTGGGCTGTGTGGTCACTGTCCGTGATCCCAGGCTATTTCGCCGGCAGTCTCATTTCTGATCCGAAAACCTTCGGCCTCGATCTGGTGCTGCCAGCTTTTTCGCCGCCCTGCTGGTGCCGCTCTGGAAAGGCAAACGCCAGACGGTCAGCTGGCTGATCGCCGGCGGCGTTGCCTGGGCGACCTGGGTCCTTTTCGGCGGTTACTGGAGCATTTTCACCGGCGCGGTTGCCGGAGCATTCGCCGGGGCCTATCTCGATGACTGAAGGTGCCTTTACCGCAGATACAATGGTTCTGTTCGCGATCCTCGGTATGGCGACCGTCACCTATGCGCTGAGGGCCGGCGGTTATTGGGTCATGGGACGCGTGACGGTCACACCGAAAATCAGACGTGGCCTGGAAGCCCTGCCTGGTGCGATCATTGTCTCCACGATACTGCCGATCATCCTGCAGGGTGGGCTGGTCGTCGGCTTGTGCATCATCGTTGCAGCCGCGGTTCAGCTCAGGTTGAAGAAGGAATATGTCGCCGTGTTTGCTGCCGCTGCCGTGGCAGCTGCTCTCAGGGCAGGTGGATTCCAGTAAATATCAGCTAATGCTTTGTGAGCGGCCAAGAATTTCCCGGGCCTGGGACGCTGTTCCTTCCCGGTTGCCTCCGGCCTCAATCTGCGCCCAGGACATCTTGCCGAGGTCATATCCGAGCTGTTTGTCGACAATATCCGCAGTTGCATCAGAGGCATCCTGGGCGCGGTCAGCCACACGCTGCCTGAGTGTCGTTGCAGCAGCCGTCAGCCAAAGACCGGTGAAACCTGCCTCGACACTTTTTGCTATCTGCCGGATTTTGGCACGCTCGCTTTCAGCAGCGAACACAGCGTCGAAGATTGCCGAATGCCCGGATGCAAGAACAGCCTGAATTGCTTCGTCGATGGCTTGGTAGACGCGATTGGAAGCCTGAAGCGTGTAGGCCTCCGGCGGTGCCTTCTCTGCTTCGGGAATATCAAGCAGGCGTTTGCGCATGACGTCCGTGCGCAGCACGCGCGCACCGGGAGCGCGGCCGATATCAGCTGCCAGTTCGTAGGCCAGCGTGGTTTTGCCGGTCCCCGACAACCCGCCGATCGCGACCAGTTCCGGTTGCGACGGCTCCAGAAACGCCAGGGCAAATCCGAAATATTTCCGCGCCAGGCTCTGCTGGGCCTGTTTTTGCTCCGGATCTGATTGGGCAAGGGCCGCACTTGCAGCAATCTTGGAGCGAATTGCAGCACGCATCATCATGTAGAACGGGAGGCACGCGAGACCTTCTGGGTGCGTATCCAGCCGACTGAGGTCAAGATAGCGGTTGAAGACGCGGTTGGCGGACCGCAGCTGGCCTCGCTCCCAAAGATCCATCAACAGAAAGGCAAGGTCATACAGCACGTCGCCGGTTGCAATTTCATCGGAAAACTCGACCGCATCGAACAGAACCGGGTCGTCTTCGATCAGCACGATATTCCGCAGATGCGCATCGCCATGGCAGCGCCGGATGATGCCTTGCTCGCCCCGTTTGAGGATCAGATCCTTTAGAGACGACAGGACGTTTCCGGCTTGACCGGTCAGATGACGTACGTTTTCAGGCGGAAACAATTCGGGATGTTCGTGAAATGCCGCGTCGTTCTGCGCAACATAGGACGCCAGTGCTTCATAAAAGCCGGGACCGCTCCGTGTGGGCGCTTCGCCGTGCGCGGCGACCATCATGCTCGCAAGCTTGTCGGACAACGTGTCGGAAAATGGCGCCGCGCCCGCCCGGACGTCCAGCTCATTCTGCGTGTCGAAGCGGCGCATTTCCACGACCCATTCGACGGGTTCTCCTGCGCCATCGAGTGACAGGTTGCCATCTGCTTCAAGTGTGACCGGCAGCGCTTTCAGGTAGATTTGAGGGGCGTTCGGCTGGTTAAAGGTGATTTCCGCCTTGCAGGCGCACTCGCGCAGCGCCAGCGTCGAGTAGTCGAGAAACGGGAACCTGACGTTGCGCTTGATTTTGTAGGCAAGGTTGCCCACCAGAAACACAATGTTGGCGTGGGTATCGATCCTCTTCACGTCCGGTCTGTCCGGATCGTTGGATGTCAGGCCCTGCATAAACTTGAAAACGGCGTCCTGGGATTGATCCATGTCCGGTCCTAAGATGAGGCTCGCTGATTTTGCACCAGGTGCAACTCTCACGGTTTGATTCTGCTCAATGTCGCCCGACGACGATGTGGCACAAAGAGTGTGTTGTGTCTTTACAGGAGGATTCCATGAACGACCATCCGGCATTGAGAAAGATCAGGTTGAACCTGGCCCGGACAAAAGAATTCCCTCAGGGGTCCGCGCGGCACGGGTACGAATTTACGGCGCCACTCAACGAAACCGGGCACATTGATGCGACACTCTGGAAAAAGGAGCGCGACCACTGTCGCGTCCGTCGGTTCTGGGGCAGTGAAGAAGAGGAAGTCGGTCATCTGATCCACCGGCCCGGCGGATCCTGGGCGTTTCACTACGACATCGACGGCGATGATGACGATGAGGCGGGCTACCGTTTCGGCGCTCATGCCTTCAATCCGGGTGAGTACGTGTCGATCAAGGACGAAGACGGCGATATGCACACGTTCCAGGTCGTAACCGTTCAGCCGGTTTGAATGTCCTTGCACAGGCCGTCGATCTGACTGTTTCGCAGGTTCCGGTGCGTTCTGGGTGTAGTGGGAAGACCCGCTGAACCTCGGCAATTTGGTTACGAATTTCGGGTTTGCCAGCTGGTTTTTGTCAAGGCCCGCCCGGGCCTCCTCGAGACGAGATCGGGAATTGCATCGCCATTGCCGGCAGCCCAGGCGCCGGCGCACCTCATGCTTTCATTTGAATGTCCGCCTTTCTCAGGCAATGAGATCAATCCATTTTGGAATGATCTCATTGCCAATAAATCTGATTTCAGGTTCTAACGGCGCTCTCTTTCTTACGCTATAGAATGATTGTTGATTTTTCTGAAGAACTGGATGCAGAACATGGACCAGAAAACCGGCGGCGAATTGTTGGTGGACGCACTGGAGCGGCACGGGGCTGATCGTGTTTTTTGCGTGCCTGGTGAAAGTTATCTGGCGGTTCTCGACGCTCTTCACGATGCGTCCATTCCCGTGACGGTCTGCCGCCAGGAGGGTGGCGCGGCGATGATGGCGGATGCCCACGGCAAGCTGACCGGCAAACCCGGGATCTGCATGGTGACGCGCGGCCCTGGCGCAACCAATGCCTCCGCCGGAGTGCATGTGGCGGCTCAGGACTCCACCCCGATGATCCTGTTCATCGGACAGATAGAACGGGCAATGCGCGAACGCGAGGCATTTCAGGAGGTCGATTACCGGCAGATGTTCGGCGGCATCGCCAAATGGGTCGCCGAAATCGATCAGGCGGATCGGGTTCCCGAATTCATCTCGCGTGCCTTCCATGTTGCGACTTCCGGGCGTCCGGGACCCGTAGTTCTGGCTCTGCCGGAAGATATGCTTGTCGAGACGGCGACCGTCGCGCAGCCGCCGGCCTGGCAGCAGGTGGAGACACATCCCGGTCTGACGCAAATGGCGGAACTCCAGAAAAGGCTTTGGGCTGCCGAACGGCCAATCGCGATCCTCGGGGGGAGCCGCTGGTCGGAAGATGCCGTCGCCGCCTTCACGCGCTTTGCCGAGCGGTTCGATCTGCCTGTTGCCTGCTCCTTCCGCCGTCAGATGCTGTTCGACAATCTCCACCCGAATTACGCGGGCGACGTCGGTATCGGCATAAGCCCGAAGTTGCTCGCCCGGATAAAGGCGTCAGACCTTGTTCTCCTCGTCGGCGGACGGCTCTCCGAAATGCCGAGCCAGTCTTATTCGCTACTCGAAATTCCGGCGTCCGATCAGCAATTGGTTCACATCCATCCCGATCCGGAAGAGCTTGGGCGGGTCTACCGCGCGGATCTTGCGATCAATGCCAGCCCGACAGCCTTCTGCAAGGCCGTTGAAGGACTTCAGCCACCCGTTGAAATCAAGGGAGCGGGCGAAGCGGCCCGGGCGCACGAGGATTATCTGGCTTGGTCGGGAGCGCGACCGGAAACACCGGGGCCCTTGCAGATGGCCGCCGTGATGGATTGGCTTGAAGCGAACCTTCCCGAAGATACGATTTGTACCAACGGCGCGGGAAACTACGCGACATGGCTGCACAGGTTCCATCGGTTCCGCCGCTACGGTACCCAGGCTGCGCCGACATCCGGTTCGATGGGGTACGGTCTGCCGGCAGCTGTGGCCGCCAAACTTGCGTTTCCGGAGCGCGAAGTGATCTGCTTCGCCGGAGATGGTTGCCTTCAGATGACCATGCAGGAGTTCGGAACTGCCTGTCAGGAAGGGGCCAACATCATCGTTCTGGCAATCGACAATGGCATGTATGGCACGATCCGAATGCACCAGGAACGAACCTATCCCGGCAGGCCGTCAGCGACAAAACTGGTAAATCCGGACTTCGCTGCCCTGGCCCGAACCTATGGCGCGTTTGGGGCGACAGTTGAAACGGCGGAAGACTTTGGCCCGGCCTATGCGGCGGCACGGGCGTCCGGCAAGCCAGCGATCCTGCACATGAAACTGGACCCTGAGGCGATCACGCCGGCGGCGTCACTGAGCCAGATCCGCGCTGCCGCCCAGGCAAAGCAATGACCTGAATTGTGATCAGATCTCCGCGGCGTCATCCTCCGGAGCATCGGTTCGCAGTTTGCTCTCGTCCAGACTGACAGAGACAACAACGCCGATGATGGCCACGGCGAGTCCGAACCAGAATGCAGCGTGCAGACCAGCTGCAAAACTGTCGCGCACTGCTGTGTTGATCACGTCGATATCCTTGCCTGAATAACGCTCCGTGATCGATTTGACCGCCGGGTCATCGAGAGTACCCGCCGCCAGCACGCGGAGTTCGTTGAGGGGAAGCTTGATACCGGCGGACGACACGATCGTCTCGACCTTTTTGATCGCCGTGACGAACATCATGGCAGTTGCACAGGCGATGCCGATCGCTCCAAGCCCGAGATGGAACATGAAGGACAGACCTCCGGCAAGACCGGCGCCCTGCGCTCCGACGGCATTGACCGCGGCGGTCCCTGCCGGCCCGAATACAAGACCTCCTCCGATACCCACGACAACCATCACCGGTACCAGTGCGACATATCCCCAGGAGGTCTGAAGGAAGAGCATCAGGACACAACCCAAAACCAGAAACGCATGTCCGGCGGCCATCAGTTTTCGAGGACCGATGGAATTGTAGTAGTTACCGACCGCGAGGTTCATTGAGGCAACGACAACTGCAAGCGGCAGCATGCCCATCGAACTCCAGAATATCGACCAGCCAAGGACTTTTTGCATGTACTGGGGCAGGTAGAGCAGACACAGGAACAGTACGATGGCCGGCAGACCGTTAAGCGCAAGCGTCCTGACAAATTGATGATTCCGCATCATCGGCAGCGGGATCATCGGATCCTTCACGAATTTTTCGACAAACGGAAAAGCGGCGAAAAACACCAGGGCGCCGGCAAAAAGCAGAAGAGTGGTTCCGTTGAACCAGCCGTTGTCCGCTCCGGTATCCAGTCCGAAGAGAAGGCAAAACACCGCAATGGCAAGAACGGCCATCCCGGACAAATCAACCGTCTCATCCCGCGCATGTTCCTTTTCCCGGTCGATGAAACGGAAAATGAGAAGCGCGGCAATGACTGCAAACACGGCATTGAAGACAAAAAAACCGCGCCAGTCGCCGAGTGCGGCCAGCGACCCGGCAATGAACGGCGCAAGTACATTTCCGCCAGCGACGGTACCCATCAGGATGCCCATCGCCTTGCCCCGTTCGTCTTCTTCAACCGAAGTTGCAGCCAGCGCGAGAATGCAGGGCCAGATGAGCGCAGATCCGACACCTTGCGCGGCTCTTGCGAAAATGAGCGCTGAGACGGTTGGGGCGAACACGCAGGCGATCGAAGCCGCAAAGAAGATGCCGAGACCGATCAGCACGTATCTGCGATGGCCGAGCAGATCACCAAGTCGGCCACCGGCAACAAGACCCATGGACAATGTCAGCGCATAGGCGTTCAAAACCCATTGGGTTGTCGTTATGTCGACGGAGTATTCCTGTTCGATCGGTGTCACCAGGAGCATGGCCCCGGTAAAATCCGTGCCGATCATGAAGGATGGGACCGAGACGGCTCCCAGGATACGTTTGGCTCTGCTGTCCATATGCCCCTCCAGAACTGGCACGCCGGTGTCCCACGGTAGAGGTCGTTGGAAAATCTGGCAACAGATTCAAATGTCTTCCGGCATTTCCGATACGGCAAGCGTAACGAGGGCAATACCCGGGTCGTCCGGTGAGGTGCCGACGGTGAAACCGAGCGCCTGGCACATGGAGATCATCGACGTGTTTTCTTTCAAAACCTCGCCCTTGACGGTTTCGATCCCATCGGCCTTGGCATATCGGATGATGAGTTTCATCAGCGCCCAGCCCAGGCCGACCCCTTTCAGGTCGGAGCGCACCATCACTGCGTATTCTCCGGTCTGGTGGTCCGGGTCGGCATGCAGACGAACGACCCCCAGAAGCCCGTTGTCATTCGGGTCAATCGCGGCGAACGCGATGGCACGGGCGTAGTCAAGCTGAGTAAGCCTGGCAAGGAACCGGTGACTGAAATCCCGAACCGGTGCAAAGAAGCGTAGCCGAAGATCCTCCGGTGTGATGGTTTCGAAGAAACTCTTGAAAAGGTCTTCATCCTCGGGCCGGACCGGCCTCACAAAGACTTCCTTGTCACCCTTGAGCGTGAGTGTCTGTTCCCATTCCTGCGGGTAAGGAGCGATGGCAAGGCGCGATCCGCCTGTTCTGCCGGGGCGCTGTTCGGGATGGCAAAGGGTCATGCGGGCATCAAGGCCAATCAGCCCCGAGGGCAGGGACACCAGCGGATTTATGTCGAGTTCGTTGATCTCCGGAATGTCGATTGTGATCTGGGACAGCTTGACCAGGGCCTGGGCGAGGGCTGACCTGTCGAGCGCCGGGCGGGAAGGCCCACCCTCCAGAAGCCGTGCGATCCGTGTCCGGCCAATCTGGGCGTCGGCAAGATTGAGATCAAGCGGCGGCAGTTCGAGCGAAATGTCCTCGCTTTCTTCTATTGCGGTGCCGCCGTGTCCGAAGACGAGAACCGGTCCGAACTCCGGTGTTTCCGCAAGTCCCATGTAAAGTTCCATGCCGTGACGGTCTTCAAGCATCGGATGAAGGGATATTCCTGCGATCTCGGCATCCGGATAATCTCGTCCGGTGTTGCCAATCAGTTCCCTGGCGGCATTTTCGACGGCCTCGGGGTTTTCAAGTCCCAGCCTGACACCGTCGATCCGTGACTTGAACGGCAAATCGGGCGAAACCAGTTTCGCAACGCAGTGCCGGGATGTTTCGAACAACGCGCGGGAGAGTTTGGCCGCCTCCTCGGCTGTTGTCGCCATCACCGTCTTCATGAGGGGCAGTTCATAGGCTGCAAGGACGTCGAAGGCTTCCCTGGGATCGAGCCAGTTTCGTCCTTCCTGCAACGCGTTTTCGACGATGGAACGTGCGCGTTCGACATCCGGAGTGAAATTGGTCGGCAGGCTTGGCGGTGCTGCCATCAGGAACTCACGCGCCTGGGCATCATGCACCAGATGCATCAGGCTGCGGGCAGCCTCGGCCGGACTGGCATAGTTCGGGATCTTGGCGGCAGAAAGTTCAGCTCTGATCGCGCCATCACTGCCGATCAGGCCGGCGACCAGAGCCTTTTTGCGTCCTGAACGGCGCCGGTCGGTGGCAGCGGCATCGGTTATGGCATTCGCGATGCTTCTCAAGGGCTGGAAGGCACTTGCGGCCTGGAGAACGATTGCTCCGTCGACGGCGGGGTCTTTCAGAACTGTTGTGATCGCCGTCGTGATGTCCGCCGCAGACACGCTTTCCCGCAGAATGACGGATCCGTCCGCTGCCGGGGTCGGTTCAGGATCTGATGGCTCCCGGCTGACTGCTGTCAAATCCTGTCTGGTCTCTGCGCTCAAGGTCGCAAATTGCGCGCCTAGGTCCTGAAGCCGGTCAACCGCCAGGCTCGCAAGGCTGCGACCGTTGGCAATGACAGCAACCTGGTTGCAGCGGGGTACACGGATATGCGACAGGGTTTCCAGTGCCTCGAACATTTCGTCAAGATCATGGACACGCAACAGGCCGGTGCGACGGAACACCGTTTCATAGACAAGATCGGTTCTGGAAAGACGACCTGCATGGGTGCGGCCTGATCCACCCGTATCCCGGCTCTTGCCGGACCTGATGACGATCACCGGTTTGCTGCGTGCCGCGGCCCGCGCTGCGGAGATGAATTTGCGCGGAAATGCAATGCCTTCGAGATGGAGTACGATCGAGCGGGTTCGGTAGTCCTGGGCAAAATAGTCAATCAGATCGCCCAGATCGACATCGATGCGCGCACCAAGCGACACAACGGCGGAAAAGCCGGTATTGTGGGTTCTTGCCCATGAGAGAGTTGCATTGAGCACCGCACCGGAACGCGAGAAAAACGCGATATCGCCTCGCGTGGGTGGTTCGGCGCTCAAAAGGGCGTTCAGTTTGCTGGCCGGTACAGCAACACCGAGACTGCCCGGTCCGATCAGTCGAAGGTTTGTTCTTCGGGCAGCTTCACGGCATTCTTGCATGAGCGGTTCCGCCCATGTCTCATATCCGGGCGAGGGGATCAGAACCGCACGGGTGCCACCCGCACCAAGCTTTTCGATCGTTGCCGGAAGGTCATCGCTTCGGGCGAGGTAAATCACCAGGTCAGGCATGACATCCAGATCGTCAAGTGATCTGCACCTGGTACCCTTGAAGGAAATGTCTTCCTCGATGCCGACCAGTGAGACGAGATGTTCAGTTTCTATGTCGTGCAGGCAGTCGACCAGTTTTTCTGTCAGGACACCCGGATGTCTGCAGGGCCCCACGACGGCGACGGATTTAGGTGCGAAGAAGCCTTCAAGATTGCGAATGGTCACGGAACCTGAGCCTTTCCACACAGCCGGTACTGAGCTCGAAACCGGTCATGCCCTCATGAATGAGATTGAAATGGTGACGGTGATTTTACCCGGATACAAGGTTAAAAAATTGCAGGAAACCGTTCGGGTTTCAAAGGCTCGCAATGTTGTTGCCAGACGAATTGACCCCATCGTAATGTTGCGTCAAAACGACGTTGAACGGTTGCACGGAACCGGGCAGGTAGCCTGTCTTTCGTGCCGGCCCTAGCAGGTCTCAGCCGTTGCATCTGCCAATTCGACCTCACCTGGAAGAACGCGTTCCAGCGCAGGACCGAGGCAAATCCCTCCTGCGGGTCTGTTTGCGGCAGACCCGCAGGAGATAGACGGTTTCCGGTTCCTCAGTGAGCCATCAAGACCGGAACGGTCATGGCCTCCAGGATTTCCCGGGTCGCGCCTCCGAAGAGGAACTCCCGCATTCTGCTGTGCCCGTAACCACCCATGACAACCAGGTCGTTGCCATTGTCCGATACCTGGTTGAGCACCGTGTCGGCGACGCTCGTCTGGGGATTGACGACGACCTCGACCGTGACGTTCATGTTGTGGCGCGCCAGGTAGTTGGCGACATCCGCGCCGGGTTGACCTTCCCCGGCAGAAGCCTTCTTCTCGAT